GGTAAATCTGATGGCTGGGTGTATGGAATTCATGTGGTCGCGGAATTTTGTCTAGAGCAGGTTGGCCATGTGTCCAGATGACAAAAGTGTCATCCACGTACCTCTTCCATAAGGTCGGGCGTAGAGTGGCAGTCTGGATGGCGTCAGTTTCAAAATTTTCCCTGAATACTTTGGCTGAAACCGGAGATAGGGGGGAGCCCATTGGGGTGCCCTCAGTTTGTTTGTAGAAAGTTCCATTCCAGGTGAAGTATGTGTTGGTTAAGCAATGTCTCACCAGGGGGGGTACATCAGTATGCAGTCCTTGATGAACCAGGTCTTCAATGATAGAGATGGTGTCAGGTACCGGGACTTTGGTGAACAAGGACACCACATCAAAAGTGAAAAGCAGGTCGTCTACGGACGGGGAAATGCTAGCTTCGCTCTTATCTCGGAAAAAAATCAGACTTACACGCACCGAACTCGATCAGTTAGGCAAGACACTCTACAAATCACATTTAACATTGACAGCAACAATGTCTACATCGGATTGGGAACATGTAGACAATATGACTACCTCTTCGGCTGCCATTATGTCGACCAAATGTAGGGACAATTTAATTTCCAAATTCAATCACCTCTCCAACAAAAAATCGGATCCACACACCGAAAAGATAGACGTCAACAAAGTCGTAATTAATCGCAGTAACAGTTCCATTTCTGATGGTCTGAAATCCGTTTTAGCTAAAGGTCTAATCTTTGCTGTCACACCGAGACACATACCGATTAATGATATCATTGCCCATGTCGACGTTGCACTCAAGGGCTTGAGTCACATCTCTGCAGACGTAGCAAGATCTGAAATCGCTGCAACCCTCAAAAAACGCTAAGTTGCCACCTAGCAACATCAGCAAAGATGAACGCTTTGAATTATCTCAATTAAAAAAGAGAGATGATATTGTCGTCCTCTCAGCCGACAAGGGCAATGCCACTGTCATCATGGACAAAACAGAATATAACAACAAAATTCAAGAACTACTCAACGATGGCAGCTATACAAAAATAAAAAGAGATCCCACCAACAGCCTGGTTACCAAAACGAACAAAATCATCTCTGATTCAACAGCATTAATTGATCAGACCAAACAGTTCTTGTTGAAACCCTCTGCTGCCAGACCACCAAGATTATATGGCCTTCCAAAGATACACAAAGAAGATACACCCCTTCGTCCCATCGTCTCTACTATCAACTCCCCCACCTATAAACTGGCACGTTTTCTTGCTGATATACTGCGACCTTTCACTGGAAAAACCACCTCTGCGGTACTAAATTCTACTCACCTGGTATCGACAATCAAAGGCATTTCCCTGTCCCCAGACGACCTGCTTGTCAGTTTTGATGTGGTGTCCTTGTTCACCAAAGTCCCGGTACCTGACACCATCGCTATCATTGAAGACCTGGTTCATCAAGGACTGCATACTGATGTACCCCCCCTGGTGAGACATTGCTTAACCAACACATACTTCACCTGGAATGGAACTTTCTACAAACAAACTGAGGGCACCCCAATGGGCTCCCCCCTATCTCCGGTTGTAGTCAACGTATTCATGGAAAAATTTGAAACTGACGCCATCCAGACTGCCACTCTATGCCCGACCTTATGGGAGAGGTACGTGGATGACACTTTTGTCATCTGGCCACATGGCCAGCCTGCTCTAGACCAATTCCGCGACCACATCAATTCCATACACCCAGCCATCAGATTTACCATGGAGGTCGAAAAAGATGGCAAACTACCCTTTTTGGATGTCTTAATTAAAAGGAGACATGATGGTTCAATGAGCCACTCTGTCTACAGGAAAGCTACCCATACAGATGCTTACTTGAAACCGGATTCCCACCACCATCCATCCCAGAAGAACTCCCTCATCAAGACTCTATACCATAGAGCCCAATGCATATCCGACCAGGAACACATTACCAGTGAACTCAAACACGTACACCAGGCTCTCAGGGCTAATGATGACTCCGACTACACAATCCGCAAAGCCATCACTCCAGTCATGAAGAAGGATCCTCTTGTGGAGCCACTCAAAACCATCACCTTACCCTACATTACAGGGGTCACTAAAAAGATCTCCAAAATCCTGAATAAACACAAGATCCAGGTCCGATTCAACACAGTACATAAAATCCGTGATCTGGTTCCATCTGTAAAAGATGCTGTTCCAGACATACAGTACCCGGGCGTTTACAACCTAAAGTGCCTCTGTGGTAGTAGCTACATTGGAGAAACCAAACGACATATCTCGGACCGCATCTGCGAACATAAAGCAGACTTGAAACACGGTAGAACGAACTCCTCTGCCGTGGCAGATCACTGTTATAATTCAGTGGGCTCACATGACATTGACTTCTCCAAGACGGAGGTTCTTTGCAAACCAACCGGCTACCATTCGTTCATGAGGCCATTCACATATATAAGCACAGAGACAATTTCAACCGAGAAGATGGATTCTGGCTTAGTAACCATTGGAAAGATGTTTTAAACCATTTCCTTTCTTAATTAATTGTATTTTACGATGACCTTCAGACCGCAGCTGTTTCGCTGGCATTGACTTTTAATACCTCTCACACCACGGTTAATGGTATGGTTTACAACATGGAGTATAACAGCGCCTCGCAGCTGTCTCTCTCCCCCTCCTCCATTCCGACCATGGATGAACTCGTCCGTCTGAACGGGGCTCGTAGCTATCCGTGATGCTAAAGTTGAGGGTAAGAATCCACCCATTTTTTCGCCATATAGCATTGTGATATATAACGACTTATTGTTGGTAGCTTAGCTGTGGAGAATATATAGAGTTTATTGATAACATTGAGGTAATTTATATTTTAGTTTTTTTTTATTGGTTTACTATATAGTATTCATTATATAGTGTAGTGTATACCCAGTTACTGTTAATAGCTTAGATGTGTAGGCTTTGACTTTAACATAGCCATTTCTGTGACCAGTCACAAGCTAATATCTCAGTTATTTCAATGCTAAATTCTCCTGTTTTATTTGTACTAGGTGCATCTGTGGATGTGTATGCTTTGACTTTAACATAGCCATTTCTGTGACCAGTCACAAGCTAATCACTCAGCTATTTCAAGGCTAAATTCTATGCTAATTCCTTTGTCAAGGCGCTTTGTTTCTTCTCACACAGCTTAAAGGTCGCGATCTGAGCTTGGCTGTGTTCGCTCCAGCGCTGTCCTCCAGAGAGTCTCGTCCCTTCACCTGATGAAGGCCGCTTGTGTTGTGGCCGAAACGTCGTGAGAATTTTTATTATTTTATTATCAATTTATTATTGCATTTATTATTGCATTCTATGTAACTTTACCAAAAGAACCAAAGAAGTTGGTTAAATAAAGTTTGCTAACAAAAAGAGACGACTCGTGGCAATTTCTGAATGCAGTTGAAGTTATTTTTTAAAACTATTCCACAATTTTTGTTTCTATGAGGCAAGGCCCCACTGAGTTGCCATGTGGCTCTTTGGGAAAACGCGACCCTGGCGATCACAAACGACAGCAGCTCAACGAAATGGCCTTCTTATCACGTGGACATTCATGGCAGCCAAATACTCTAAAACGCGCGACGCTCATCCTGAATTTGGAGGGGAAAACCCGGGGGGACTCGGAGACAAATCCACGTGACCCCGGGGGGGGTAGGGGGAGATAGAGACACGCAAACTCTAAATACACGGCAGTCGTCAGGGTCAGGATCGAAACCCACGACCTCTAGCGTCCCAGGCGAGGTAGCTAACATCTCCTAGCCACCGTGGCGCCCCCAAATAACCGTACCTGCATTCGCGTTTGAGTCTCCAGAAACGTTGTAAGTACTGGGCAGTATCAAACTTGTTCGGAATGCAGCTGCCAGAGCGATTACACCACGTGCCCAATTCCGTTAAGCACGTTGCACCCAGGTCCTCTTATCTCTTCATTGGCTACCGGTCAAATTCCGAGTGGATTTTAAGATGCTGCTATTAACCAAGAGGGCTTTAAAAGGGGCTCACCCCACACTACTTGCAGGCACTAATACACTCACACATTCCATCAAGGTCCTTAGGATCTTCTGAGCTCCAACTGCTCAGCGCTCCTAGGTCTATGGGTTGCGCTCTTTTGGAGATCAGGCTCTTGTTGGCGTGGCACCCAAGTGATGGTTTACTCCGTATTCTTGTACAGGGAAATTGAGTTTTCGAGTGCATGAAGCGTCCAGCCGTTTCAGTACCGGCAAAGAAAATGTTTTAGTCTGTTTGTTTGTGTTTCTCTCCTTGCGATGGGACTTTGTAGGATGAACGTTGAGATGTATAAGGGGCACGCGGTGACCGACAAAGGTCTGAATTGGTCTGTAATAAGGTAGGGGACTGATATAAGGGGGACGAGAATTCAACAAACCTGAAAAAACATTATGTGAAGCACATCCAGTCAGGCCAAGAACACAGTTAGGCACTTCGTGGTCCGCCAGGAAGTGTCTAACTGTGTTGTTGGCCTGACTGGATGTGCTTCACATAATGTTTTTTCAGCTTTGTTGAATTCTCGTCTCTCATATTTTTGTTGTAAATACCTCCGTGATTTGTTCTTGACACCTGATGAAGATCGCTTGCCTTGTGATCGAAACGTCGTGATTGTTTTTTGTTTTAATATAACTTTATTGTATTTCTACATACGTGACTTTACCGAAAAAACCAATGAGTAATTGTATGCAGTCACGAAAGCTTTAATACTTTATGATATAAGGGGTTGACAGGTACGCAACAACAACAACCAACCCACCGCACGGGCCGTGTTTAATACATCCCTCAGACTTTTGCCCAACAACGTTGGGCCAACGAACGTTGGGCCAACGTTCAATGTCCAGGGCTATACGAAATCAATGAACTATGAACTATGGGTCAAGGCTGAACCAACCATTCCAGCCACCACCCAGCCCCCTCCTTCACACGTCGATTCCCCTCGCACTCGATTCATTTTGCGCTGAGTCGAAATCGGGAATCGTTTTCTTGGGCAGGGGGTGAAGGAAGAATCGATTCCACAGACCGGACGTGCTTCCTCTCGAGTCGAGACTGACACTCGCGATTAGTCTGAAGTGAGTGGTACACGTGGCGTGTGTGTAGTACACGTGGCGTGTGTGTGGTACACGTGGCGTGTGTGTGGTACACGTGGCGTGTGTGTGGTACGCGTGTGTGTGTGGTACACGTGGCGTGTGTGTGTTGTACACGTGGCGTGTGTGTGGTACACGTGGCGTGTGTGTGATACACGTGTGTGTGTGTGATACACGTGTGTGTGTGTGGTACACGTGTGTGTGTGTGTGGTACACGTGTCTGCGTGTGTGTGTGGTACGCGTGTGTGTGTGGTACGCGTGTGTGTGTGGTACGCGTGTGTGTGTGGTACGCGTGTGTGTGGTACACGTGTGTGTGTGTGGTACACGTGTGTCTGTGTGGGGTACACGTGTCTGTGTGTGGTACACGTGTGTCTATGTGTGGGGTACACGTGTGTGTGTGTGTGTGGTACACGTGTGTGTGGTACACGTGGTGTGTGTGTGGTACATGTCTCTGTGCGTGTGTGGTACACGTGTGTGTGTGGTACACGTGTCTGTGTGTGTGTGGTACACGTGTGTGTGTGTATGGTACACGTGTGTGTATGTGTGGGGTACACGTGTCTGTGTGTGCCACACGTGTATGTGTGGGGTACACGTGGTGTGTGTGTGTGGTACACGTGGTGTGTGTTGGACCCTACAGTACTCAAGGTGGCAATGTCTCTGTAGGGTCCTCAAGGTGGAAGTGTCTCTGTAGGGTCCTCAAGGTGGCAGTGTCTCTGTAGGGTTCCTCAAGGTGGCAATGTCTCTGTAGGGTCCTCAAGGTGGCAATGTCTCTGTAGGGTCCTCAAGGTGGCAATGTCTCTGTAGGGTCCTCAAGGTGGCAGTGTCTCTGTAGGGTTCCTCAAGGTGGCAATGTCTCTGTAGGGTCCTCAAGGTGGCAATGTCTCTGTAGGGTCCTCAAGGTGGCAATGTCTCTGTATGGTCCTCAAGGTGGCAATGTCTCTGTAGGGTACTCAAGGTGGCAATGTCTCTGTAGCGTCCTCAAGGAGGCAATGTTTCTGTAGGGTTCCTCAAGGTGGCAGTGTCACTGTAGGGTCCTCAAGGTGGCAGTGTCTCTGTAGGGTACTCAAGGTGGCAATGTTTCTGTAGGGTCCTCAAGGTGGAAGTGTCTCTGTAGGGTCCTCAAGGTGGCAGTGTCTCTTTAGGGTTCCTCATGGTGGCAGTGTCTCTGTAGGGTTCCTCAAGGTGGCAATGTCTCTGTAGGGTCCTCAAGGTGGCAATGTCTCTGTAGGGTACTCAAGGTGGCAATGTCTCTGTAGGGTCCTCAAGGTGGCAATGTCTCTGTAGGGTTCCTCAAGGTGGCAGTGTTTCTGTAGGGTTCCTCAAGGTGGCAGTGTCACTGTAGGGTCCTCAAGGTGGCAGTGTCTCTGTAGGGTCCTCAAGGTGGCAATGTCTCTGTAGGGTTCCTCAAGGTGGCAGTGTTTCTGTAGGGTTCCTCAAGGTGGTAGTGTCTCTGTAGGGTTCCTCAAGGTGGCAGTGTCTCTGTAGGGTTCCTCAAGGTGGCAATGTTTCTGTAGGGTTCCTAAAGGTGGCAATGTTTCTGTAGGGTCCTCAAGGTGGCAGTGTCTCTGTAGGGTTCCTCAAGGTGGCAATGTCTCTGTAGGGTTCCTCAAGGTGGCAATGTTTCTGTAGGGTCCTCAAGGTGGCAATGTCTCTGTAGGGTCAAGGTGGCAGTGTCTCTGTAGGGTTCCTCAAGGTGGCAGTGTCTCTGTAGGGTTCCTCAAGGTGGCAGTGTCTCTGTAGGGTTCCTCAAGGTGGCAATGTTTCTGTAGGGTTCCTCAAGGTGGCAATGTTTCTGTAGGGTCCTCAAGGTGGCAGTGTCTCTGTAGGGTTCCTCAAGGTGGCAATGTCTCTGTAGGGTTCCTCAAGGTGGCAATGTTTCTGTTGGGTTCCTCAATGTGGCAATGTTTCTGTAGGGTCCTCAAGGTGGCAGTGTCTCTGTAGGGTTCCTCAAGGTGGCAGTGTCTCTGTAGGGTCCTCAAGGTGGCAATGTTTCTGTAGGGTTCCTCAAGGTGGCAATGTTTCTGTAGGGTTCCTCAAGGTGGCAATGTCTCTATAGGGTTCCTCAATGTGGCAATGTCTCTGTAGGGTCCTCAAGGTGGCAATGTCTCTGTAGGGTCAAGGTGGCAGTGTCTCTGTAGGGTTCCTCAAGGTGGCAGTGTCTCTGTAGGGTTCCTCAAGGTGGCAATGTTTCTGTAGGGTTCCTCAAGGTGGCAATGTTTCTGTAGGGTCCTCAAGGTGGCAGTGTCTCTGTAGGGTTCCTCAAGGTGGCAATGTCTCTGTAGGGTTCCTCAAGGTGGCAATGTTTCTGTAGGGTCCTCAAGGTGGCAATGTCTCTGTAGGGTTCCTCAAGGTGGCAGTGTCTCTGTAGGGTTCCTCAAGGTGGCAGTGTCCCTGTAGGGTTCCTCAAGGTGGCAATGTTTCTGTAGGGTTCCTCAAGGTGGCAATGTTTCTGTAGGGTCCTCAAGGTGGCAGTGTCTCTGTAGGGTTCCTCAAGGTGGCAATGTCTCTGTAGGGTTCCTCAAGGTGGCAATGTTTCTGTCGGGTTCCTCAATGTGGCAATGTTTCTGTAGGGTCCTCAAGGTGGCAGTGTCTCTGTAGGGTTCCTCAAGGTGGCAGTGTCTCTATAGGGTTCCTCAATGTGGCAATGTCTCTGTAGGGTCCTCAAGGTGGCGATGTCTCCACGCGTGCTCACCGTGGTGAGGTGTCTCCTGGGGGCGTTCTTCGTGCTGGCCGGGCTCGTCAAGGTCACGGACCTCGTGTCGCCAGACGTCCATCAGCACATGGTAAGCACGCGGGAGTGCGCACGCGATAAACAACAACAACAACAAACGGCAATGACGCGGCGATTCGTGCCAGGCTAGGTGCACTTTGGGAGGCCGTCGCGTGAAGTCTACCGATTAGCACCCATAGAGACACCCAGAACCATAGAGACCCACAGGTTGGCACGGTTGGCTACGTACGGTGCGTTGGAAGTTCCACATACACAGAGACCCATAGAGACACCCAGAACCATAGAGACCCACAGAGACTACCCATAGCGACCTAGAGACCCACTGGTTAGCACGGTTGGCTACGTACGGTGTGTTGGAAGTTCCACATACACAGAGACCCATAGAGACACCCAGAACCATAGAGACCCACAGAGACTACCCATAGTGACCTAGAGACCCACAGGTTAGCACGGTTGGCTACGTACGGTGCGAACGACGTTCAACATACATCCAGTGTGTAATGCTGTGTCACTCCTGCCTGCAGGAGGTCACGGGACACACCCAGCAGGTGCCATGGGTTGACTGCTGTGCCAGGCTAGGTGCATGATGTCACGGGAGAGACCCAGCAGGTGCCATAGGTTGACTGCTGTGCCAGGCTAGGTGCATGATGTCACGGGACAGACCCAGCAGATGCCATGGGTTCACTGCTGTGCCAGGCTAGGTGCATGATGTCACAGGAGAGACCCAGCAGGTGCCATAGGTTGACTGCTGTGCCAGGCTAGGTGTATGATGTCACGGGACAGACCCATCCGGTCCTCTGATTTGCCTTCTGTGCCAGGCTAGGTGCACGAGGTCACGGGACAGACCCAGCAGGTGCCGTGGGTCGTCCGACTGAGATGACCGTCAGATGCACCACCACCACCAGCTGTACCCCACTGCTGTGCCAGGCTAGGTGCACGAGGTCACGGGACAGACCCAGCAGGTGCCATGGGTCGTCCGACTGAGATGACCGCTAGATGCACCACCACCACCAGCTGTACCCCCCTGCTGTGCCAGGCTAGGTGCACGAGGTCACGGGACAGACCCAGCAGGTGCCATGGGTCGTCCGACTGAGATGACCGCTAGATGCACCACCACCACCAGCTGTACCCCCCTACCATGCCAACTCGCTGCGTTTCATCCGCCCGGCGCTCCGCTCGTTGTTGTGAACCGGCGTCGCTTCCTCTGCCCTCCGACTGCTGTCGCTGGGAGGGGGGCGACTGCCCCCCCCCCCCACGCAACTGGCCCACAGCCGCAGCAGAATCGGCGTCCTTCACGAACCCCCTCCCCCGCCTCCGCCGCCACCAACCCCCCCCCCCCCCCCCCCGTGTGTGTCGTGCGTCTTGTGTCGTGTGCCTCGTGTCCCCCTCCGGTCGCGTGGCGAGACACAGAAAGAGGAATTCTCCAAGTTTTCCACCGTCTTCCCGCTCGCCCCGCGGGGCTGGCGACCTCCGGCCGACCTCTACATGGCCACCGTCGGCTGGATGGAGCTCCTTCCCGGGATCCTCCTGGCGCTGGGGCCCACACCGCTGCAGACGGCGAGCGGCGTCCTGCTGCTCGTCATCATGATCGGTAGCCGCTGCTGCTGTTACTGCTGTTGCTGCTGCTGCTACTGTTGCTGTTGCTACTACTGTTGTTGTTGTTGCTGCTACTGCTGCTACTGCTGTTACTGCTGTTGCTGCTGCTGCTACTGCTGCTGTTGCTGCTGTTGTTGCTGCTGCTGCTCCTACTGTTGTTGTTGTCGCTGCTGCTGCTGCTGCTACTGTTGCTGCTGCTACTACTGCTGCTACTGTTGCTGCTACTGCTGCTACTGCTGCTGCTGCTACTGCTGCTACTGCTACTACTGCTGGTGCTACTGCTGCTACTGCTACTACTGCTGCTGCTACTACTGCTGCTACTTCTGCTATTGCTGCTGAGATGGCGGGACAAGTTATCGAGGGTACGCTGTCTGTTGCGTTTTCTGCAAACTGTATCCTACTGTATCGTAACACAAACTATCCTACTGTATCATAACACAAACTGTACCATACTGTATCGTAACACAAACTGTATCCTACTGTATCGTTCCAAAAACTGTACCATACTGTATCATTCCGCAAATTGTATCATACTGTACCACCCCTCAAACTGTATCATACTGTATCGTCCCGCAAACGGCATCATACTGTACCATTCAGCAAACTGTATCATACTGTACCGGTCCGCAAACTGTATCGTACTGTACCGTTCCGCAAACTGTACCATACTGTACCGTTCCACGAACTGTGACATACTGTACCATTCTGCAAACTGTATCATACTGTACAGATCCACAAACTGTAACATGCTGTACCATTCTGCAAACTGTAACATACTGTTCCGTTCCGCAAACTGTACCATACTGTACCGTTCCGCAAACTGTATCATACTGTACCGTCCCGCAAACTGTACCATACTGTACCGCCCCGCAAACGGTATCATACTGTACCGTTCCACAAACTATCATACTGTACCATTCAGCAAACTCATACTGTACTGTTCCGCAAACTGTATCATACTATACCGTCCCACAAACCATATCATACTGTACCATTCCGCAAACTGTACCATACTGTACCCTTCCACGAACTGTATCGTACTCTACCATTCCACAAACGGTATACTGTGCCGTTCTGCAAACTGTATCATACTGTACCACACCACAAACTGTATCATACTGTACCACACCACAAACTGTATCATACTGTACCACACCGCAAACTGTATCATACTGTGCAGTCCCGCAAAACTGTACCATACTGTACCATTCCGCAAACCGTCATACTGTACCGTTCCACAAACTGTACCATACTGTACCGTTCCACAAACTGCGCCGTCCCCTGTACTGCACCGTACTGTACCGGTCTGTGCACTGTACCGCACTCTGTGCTGTACCGTTCCGAGTACCGTACTGCACCACTCTGCGTACTGTACCATACTGTACCGTTCTGCATACTGTACCGTACTGTACCTTTCTGCGTACTGTACCATTCGTTATAAAGGTGGTGTCTGTTCTGAGTTATAAAGGTGTCTGTTCTGCGTTATAAAGGTGTCTGTTCTGCGTTATAAAGGTGTCTGTTCTGTGTTATAAAGGTGTCTGTTCTGCGTTATAAAGGTGTCTGTTCTGTGTTATAAAGGTGGTGTCTGTTCTGCGTTATAAAGGTGGTGTCTGTTCTGCGTTATAAAGGTGTCTGTTCTGTGTTATAAAGGTGTCTGTTCTGTGTTATAAAGGTGTCTGTTCTGCGTTATAAAGGTGTCTGTTCTGTGTTATAAAGGTGTCTGTTCTGTGTTATAAAGGTGGTGTCTGTTCTGCGTTATAAAGGTGTCTGTTCTGCGTTATAAAGGTGTCTGTTCTGCGTTATAAAGGTGTCTGTTCTGTGTTATAAAGGTGTCTGTTCTGCGTTATAAAGGTGTCTGTTCTGCGTTATAAAGGTGGTGTCTGTTCTGCGTTATAAAGGTGGTGTCTGTTCTGCGTTATAAAGGTGGTGTCTGTTCTGTGTTATAAAGGTGTCTGTTCTGCGTTATAAAGGTGGTGTCTGTTCTGTGTTATAAAGGTGTCTGTTCTGTGTTATAAAGGTGTCTGTTCTGTGTTATAAAGGTGTCTGTTCTGCATTATAAAGGTGTCTGTTCTGTGTTATAAAGGTGGTGTCTGTTCTGTGTTATAAAGGTGTCTGTTCTGCGTTATAAAGGTGTCTGTTCTGTGTTATAAAGGTGTCTGTTCTGCGTTATAAAGGTGTCTGTTCTGCGTTATAAAGGTGTCTGTTCTGCGTTATAAAGGTGTCTGTTCTGCGTTATAAAGGTGTCTGTTCTGTGTTATAAAGGTGGTGTCTGTTCTGCGTTATAAAGGTGTCTGTTCTGTGTTATAAAGGTGGTGTCTGTTCTGCGTTATAAAGGTGGTGTCTGTTCTGTGTTATAAAGGTGTCTGTTCTGTGTTATAAAGGTGTCTGTTCTGCGTTATAAAGGTGTCTGTTCTGCGTTATAAAGGTGTCTGTTCTGCGTTATAAAGGTGTCTGTTCTGCGTTATAAAGGTGTCTGTTCTGTGTTATAAAGGTGTCTGTTCTGTGTTATAAAGGTGTCTGTTCTGTGTTATAAAGGTGTCTGTTCTGTGTTATAAAGGTGGTGTCTGTTCTGCGTTATAAAGGTGTCTGTTCTGTGTTATAAAGGTGGTGTCTGTTCTGCGTTATAAAGGTGTCTGTTCTGCGTTATAAAGGTGTCTGTTCTGTGTTATAAAGGTGTCTGTTCTGTGTTATAAAGGTGTCTGTTCTGCGTTATAAAGGTGTCTGTTCTGCGTTATAAAGGTGTCTGTTCTGCGTTATAAAGGTGTCTGTTCTGCGTTATAAAGGTGGTGTCTGTTCTGCGTTATAAAGGTGTCTGTTCTGCGTTATAAAGGTGTCTGTTCTGCGTTATAAAGGTGGTGTCTGTTCTGTGTTATAAAGGTGGTGTCTGTTCTGCGTTATAAAGGTGTCTGTTCTGTGTTATAAAGGTGTCTGTTCTGTGTTATAAAGGTGTCTGTTCCGCGTTATAAAGGTGGTGTCTGTTCTGTGTTATAAAGGTGTCTGTTCCGCGTTATAAAGGTGGTGTCTGTTCTGTGTTATAAAGGTGTCTGTTCTGCGTTATAAAGGTGGTGTCTGTTCTGTGTTATAAAGGTGTCTGTTCTGTGTTATAAAGGTGGTGTCTGTTCTGTGTTATAAAGGTGTCTGTTCTGCGTTATAAAGGTGGTGTCTGTTCTGTGTTATAAAGGTGTCTGTTCTGTGTTATAAAGGTGGTGTCTGTTCTGTGTTATAAAGGTGTCTGTTCTGCGTTATAAAGGTGTCTGTTCTGCGTTATAAAGGTGTCTGTTCTGCGTTATAAAGGTGTCTGTTCTGCGTTATAAAGGTGGTGTCTGTTCTGTGTTATAAAGGTGTCTGTTCTGCGTTATAAAGGTGGTGTCTGTTCTGTGTTATAAAGGTGTCTGTTCTGCGTTATAAAGGTGGTGTCTGTTCTGTGTTATAAAGGTGTCTGTTCTGCGTTATAAAGGTGGTGTCTGTTCTGTGTTATAAAGGTGTCTGTTCTGCGTTATAAAGGTGTCTGTTCTGCGTTATAAAGGTGTCTGTTCTGCGTTATAAAGGTGTCTGTTCTGCGTTATAAAGGTGGTGTCTGTTCTGTGTTATAAAGGTGTCTGTTCTGCGTTATAAAGGTGTCTGTTCTGCGTTATAAAGGTGTCTGTTCCGCGTTATAAAGGTGTCTGTTCTGCGTTATAAAGGTGTCTGTTCTGCGTTATAAAGGTGGTGTCTGTTCTGTGTTATAAAGGTGTCTGTTCTGCGTTATAAAGGTGTCTGTTCTGCGTTATAAAGGTGTCTGTTCTGCGTTATAAAGGTGTCTGTTCTGTGTTATAAAGGTGTCTGTTCTGCATTATAAAGGTGTCTGTTCTGCGTTATAAAGGTGGTGTCTGTTCTGCGTTATAAAGGTGTCTGTTCTGCGTTATAAAGGTGTCTGTTCTGCGTTATAAAGGTGGTGTCTGTTCTGTGTTATAAAGGTGTCTGTTCTGCGTTATAAAGGTGGTGTCTGTTCTGCGTTATAAAGGTGTCTGTTCTGCGTTATAAAGGTGTCTGTTCTGCGTTATAAAGGTGTCTGTTCTGCGTTATAAAGGTGTCTGTTCTGCGTTTTAAAGGTGGTGTCTGTTCTGTGTTATAAAGGTGTCTGTTCTGTGTTATAAAGGTGGTGTCTGTTCTGCGTTATAAAGGTGTCTGTTCTGTGTTATAAAGGTGTCTGTTCTGTGTTATAAAGGTGTCTGTTCTGCGTTATAAAGGTGTCTGTTCTGTGTTATAAAGGTGTCTGTTCTGTGTTATAAAGGTGTCTGTTCTGCGTTATAAAGGTGTCTGTTCTGCGTTATAAAGGTGTCTGTTCTGCGCTATAAAGGTGTCTGTTCTGTGTTATGAAGGTGTCTGTTCTGCGTTATAAAGGTGTCTGTTCTGCGCTATAAAGGTGTCTGTTCTGCGTTATAAAGGTGTCTGTTCTGCGTTATAAAGGTGTCTGTTCTGTGTTATAAAGGTGGTGTCTGTTCTGCGTTATAAAGGTGTCTGTTCTGTGTTATAAAGGTGGTGTCTGTTCTGCGTTATAAAGGTGTCTGTTCTGCGTTATAAAGGTGTCTGTTCTGAGTATAAGGTGTCTGTTCTGCGTTATAAAGGTTTAGGTGTCTGTTCTGCGTTATAAAGGGGTGTCTGTTCTGCGTTATAAAGGTGTCTGTTCTGTGTTATAAAGTGGTGTCCTGTTCTGCGTTATAAAGGTGTCTGTTCTGTGTTATAAAGGTGTCCTGTTCTGCGTTATAAAGGTGTCTGTTCTGCGTTATAAAGGTGGTGTCTGTTCTGCGTTATAAAGGTGTCTGTTCTGCGTTATAAAGGTGTCTGTTCTGTGTTATAAAGGTGTCTGTTCTGCGTTATAAAGGTGGTGTCTGTTCTGCGTTATAAAGGTGTCTGTTCTGTGTTATAAAGGGGTGTCTGTTCTGTGTTATAAAGGTGTCTGTTCTGTGTTATAAAGGTGTCTGTTCTGAGTTATAAAGGTGTCTGTTCTGTGTT